GCACAAGTTTCCTTTTCAAATAGGGAGGCAAATTAGAAGACATTGTCTTGTGAACAATCTAAATAGTTTGTAGAAAACATTGTTTTTCCAAAGAGAGCACCTTAGCCTGTTTGCGATAGGCAGATATATGATAAAACTTCCTCAGATTTAAGACACACCTTAGGGAAGAACTCTGCAGTCAAGAGTAAGACATTCACCAAAAGATGGAAGTGCATAGTGAATAAAGTAAGACTGTTGATTTTATCAATTCTAGCTTAGCTGTTTCAGGAACTATCCCTCTCAATCGGTGTAAAATTCTCAACCTATTTGAAACTCTCTGACACGTGTAACTAACATGTGAGCGAAAACTCAGTTGAGAATCAATTCTGATGCCTAACACCTTAACAGAATCAGAAACCAAAAGAATTTGACCGTCCAGCTCTACCTTTAATACTCTTTAACAGTATAATTTGCCATAAGAGTTCCATTGCAACGTTAGAACAGCGTTATTTCGACGACATTTGCTTTCTTATAACATATGACCCTTTTAATAAAAATTCAATTTCTATTGTTACATTTTTATTTTTACGATGGAATCAATGACGAAGAATTATCAGTCGTGGACTTGGATGCAACAAGTTCAGAAACAGCTACAACAGCTCAAGAGAGAAAAAAAAGACAGCTGCGCTGGACCAGGAAAAGAAGAGAGCTGTCCCGGACCAATGGAACAACAACCTAAAAAAAAACCTTCAGCCACCGGTTAGACAATCAAGAAAAAACCATCTACGAAAGACATGGCTGAAGAGGCGTACGTAGTAATGAAGAAACTGACGAAGGGGAAGGAGGAAGAGGATCGTCCTAAGGATGAATATGATGTTTTTGGGACACATGTTGCTTTCCAAATTCGCAACTTACCTTCCAACTTTTACCAAGCTGCAGCGAAACACCGTACAAATCAAGTTCTGTATGATTTGGAGATGGATCATTTGCATGGTAACTTTATCAACACACATTCTTCGTCATCATCAAGAAGTGTCTCTGGCTCCGCATCTTTTTACCAGGAACTAATCTTCATCCTAATAATTACCAGTGTGAATCTCAATCTCAGCAGCCGCTAATAAACGAAGAACAGAATGAAGAGCCAACTGATCCAACTGATGCTTTTATTAACAGTGTATTAAAAGCAGTGAATAAAAATTATTAGTTTTTGCAGGTTCAACTTAGGTATAATAGCTTGGTTGTAATTTTCTAGCTAAATGCAAGTCAAGGGGAATTTGTTTACTGTCTTACGTGTACACAGGTAGCGTACAACACTAGTACACCACAGCTAGTATACAAGGACATGTTTAGTATTAACCTCTAACATCGTATTTGGTACTTATACTTTCTGAATACAAATTTGACGAACTCTTTCTCAAATATAGGACTATGCAATCTTTGCAATTTGAGGTTTATTCTTATTTTTAGTTACTTTGTAATAAAGGATTTTTTTGTGTTTTTTTAGTTGTTTTTTTTTTTTGTAGTTTTAAGCTGTTAACACTTTTTACATTTATTTTACGATTTTTTTATTGTGTAGGCCCAAACAGAAATGTTTATGTTATTCTTTAAATTGTATAATATTTTTTGTACTACGGATAGCATTAATTCTTAATCTCAACTCGAATACAATCTTTGTGTTGTTCATTGAAAATGTTAGTTATTATTTAATTCTTAGCTACTATAAGAGAATATTAACAATAAGAGAATATTAAAAATATCTTACTTACTTTGATGTAGTCCTGAAGTAAATCTATCAAAGCTTCACAAACTAGAGGAATGAAGAGTGATATAGCTGACTTGGAACTTTTAAACAGGTAGCTCAAACTTTGGTACAAATCACCTAAGAGCCCTAGTATACCCTTAATACAAAAAAGGAGACGACAGACTTCCTGAAAACTACCGCAACATCTCAATCCTTCTAGTTCTATCAAAATACCTTGAAAAAAATTATAAACGCCCAATTGGTATCATATTTGAAAAAAAAAAACAACATTCTAAGCAGCAACCGGCTTCAGGGAAGGAAAGTCGACAAACACAGCTCTCACCCAGCTGTGCAACTCCATTACTGACATCTGGAAAAAAAATAAAACTTGTAATTTGACAGTTTGGCAGTTTGGACTGCAGGATTCTTCTAAAAAAATTACAAGAGATCAAAATTACCGGAAAAGCCCTCCGCTGGATCCAAAGCTACCTGGAGAACAGAGAACAATTGGTGGAAATAGAATACCTATCGAGCAACCACAAGGATCAGTCTTCGGACCATTATTCTTTCTCATTTACATAAACTGCCTCGCAACACTCCCCCCCCCCCACCGCCTGCACATGCATCATGTTTGCCGACGATACAACCATAATTGCCCCATGACAAAAGACTCAAATCAAATTGAAAACCTAATACTGTACAATCAGCCAGTAATATAAGCCAAGACATGAATTTAACCATTAATGAAACTAAAACTGTGCACATTGAATTCAAAGTTAAAAACAAAACTAACGTTAATTAAGCCGCTAGCCCACAAACCGAAAATAGCATCAGTAGTATTAATTTATATGTTGAAGCTGGGAATCCCAGTGACGTCAAAATGACGTAGAAGTCGTGTGGCTGTCGCGTGCCGCATTCTTGACCCGAGGCTAGAGCAATTGACTCCAGTTGACCTCTAATTAAAAACCAATTAGATAACAGATATCGGATTCCAACCTCGAGCGCTATCTGTTATCGGGAATTTCCCGACCTTTAGGTCATTAAGTTTGTTTACATCCTCCACGTGTGTCTTTCACATGCTCCACATGTGATAAACACTCACTTGCGTCAACCAAGAACGTAAATATTGGTGGAAAACTTTTGCCTGCAGTAAACTGTGAACTTGAAATATTAAATACTTGTGTCCCTTGCATCATCCTTGTGATAATCACGCATTTGCGTCAATAGGAAACGTGACAAACCAGGTATAAATAATCTCGGATGTTTCTATTCAATCAAGTTGTGTTTTGATCCAGCTTCAGTGAACATCTCCTGCTTCAACCTACGGTGAGTAAAAACAACTATACTTTAAGTCTTAGAATATTTTTAAAACTAAAAAAAAAAATGTTAACATATCAGAGTTTAAAATTATTTGAGAGCTTAAATTCATAGTTTAAAATAAATGCAAGTCATACCTAAATATTATACTTAAAACATTCAGACTTAAAATAGGTCCATGCTTAATATCTCCCATAATATTTTAGCTACCCAGTTGAAATTTAGCACATAAATTGATAGAGACCTCTGGTTTGTGTTAATGTAGCTAAAGTCAGGTTTTACAGTATGTGATGATCTGAAGTTTTTGAAAGTAACATTGCGTTTGTTTTTAACCGACCGATTTGTATGAAATTTGTTATGGATAAAAATAATTAGTTTACCTAAGTATACGGATTTGTGAGACTTTGAAATTTAGCATGTAAGTTGGTGGAGGCCTTTGGTTTGTGTTAATGTAGCAGTACCAGTCTGTATTTTCCACACATGAAATTTACTATATATGATAAAGACACAACAAAAATAGTTGACCAAAGTGTACGGAGATGTGTTTATTTGTCGTAAAACATGATTTTTACTTGGAATTGGAAGTAAAGAAATTTTGATGCTTCAAATGGATCTTAAAGTAGTTTTTATCATCACTCATAACTGTAGTAAAATAGACATTTACATGTTAATACAAAACAATAATTTGATATTTTGTCTTAGTGTATAAATATTTTTTTGAATTACTAATATCTCAAAGTTTTGTTAATGTGTTCTCACTTCTAGCTAAAAAAATCTAACTGTAGCCTACTGCATGATATGACTGGTATGTCTTAAGATAAATGGCAAAAAAATTTTAAGTCTCACAAAACTGTATACTTTCGTAAATTATTAAAAGCATTTTTTGTCATCACTATTAACTGTGTTAAAATTTGATATTTCAAGGTTTTGTTATTGTGTTTTAGGTTAGCCCAACCAATACAAATCGTCTGCTTTTTTTGAGAATCTCTACTGTCCATTATTTACGCACGCTAAATACAACACACCAAGGTGAGATTTGGTAAAACATGCTAGGCTATTTACATTTTCTTTCACACATGAAATTTACTATATATGATAAAGATACAACAAAAATTGTTGACCAAAGTGTACGGAGATGAGATATTTTTTATTTATCGTAAAACACTATTTTTGCTTGGAATTGGATTTTGATGCTTTGAATGGATCTCAAAGTAGTTTTTGTCATTACTAATAACTGTGGTAAATAGACATTTACATGTTAACACAAAACAATAATTTGATATTTTGTCTTAGTGTATAAATATTGTTTGGACTTCTAATATTTCAAAGTTTTGTTAATGTGTTTTAGATTAGCCCAACCATACAAATTCTACATTGAATTGGCAATACAGTCATCTCTTCCATCCATCATTTGAGCCAGAGCCAACTTTCAGGTTTCATCCATACGGTATACACAAGGCATAACAAAACTAAGGTGAGCTTATCACACTGTAGTAAAATGGCTTTATTTCAATGGATTTGATAACTTTCAGATGTATTGTGAAACTATTACTTTTGAATAGTTTCCAATTTGACATGCCTCTAAATGAGAATCAGGAAATATTACTTATGTTTCAGGACTAAATACATTAATGAATCAAGATTTTAACAAGAGTAACGGTGTCAAAACAACTACATTAACACAGTTTTATAAATCAACTTTAAGAAGATATATTTATAAAAATCAGACTTTAAACAAATATAAACAGTTAAGAGTAGACAGTTTTTTTCATACAGGTCAGTAGATTGATACATTTCAAATCTAGCTTACATTATTAAAACAATATTTTTGTTTTCATTTCAGAAAACAAAAATAAAAATGAACATTAAACTAGGATACAAAAAATTATCTGAATTCGCGTTTACACCAGAGAGGTCTACACCAGGTGCGGTTGGTTATGACTTAAGATCAGCATATTCCGATATGGTTTTCAAACACTCTAGCGTGGTAATCAGGACAGATCTAGCCATTCTATTACCTGATGGGTGTTATGGAAGGATTGCTCCAAGATCAGGCCTGGCTGTGACACACTCCATCTCAATTGGAGGTGGTGTGATTGATAGGGACTACACTGGTGATATCCGTGTAATCCTGTTCAATCATTCAGATGAAGATGTTCACATCAAACGTGGCACCCGTGTTGCTCAGCTAATTTGTGAAGCCGCGTTACAGCCTGATTTATATGAATTAACAGAATTGCGAAACACCATGAGAGGGAATAAAGGATTTGGATCGTCGGGTTTTATGTAAATGTGTTGTGTTAGTTTGTCAAATTAAATTAGATAATACGAATATATATATATATATATTTAGATATGGAGGAAGTAAGAATAGAAGACACACAAGATAGTAGGAGTGAAAAGACAGATCATCAGACACCATCAATAAGTGTGTTCTTTCTGATTCGAATGTTTGAAAATTTAGTGTTGATTGGACTTACCTCAATTGAAAAATGGGACTTTGCGTTGAGTGCACTAAAGAATCACCCTGATGTTGTCTAAAATGGTGAGGTGCTAGGACTCTATCTTGTTTTAAATCAGAGAGCACAAATGATTTCAAATAAATTATACCAATCCGTGGTTTCGCAGGAGAAGTTACCGTTAGTTAGGCAAAATGAAATGTCCTTTAGTGAGATAATGATGATAGCGGGGTCTATTAAAAAAAAAAAAAAAATGCTGGAAAGATCGGAGTTATTCAGGTGATACACAGAACACCATTCTCAAAGGGGTGAGAACAATTATGTTTGAATTTCCCAATAAGAAAAAAAAAACAAAAAAAACTAGAAACTGAAAAATGTTCCTCGTCCCCATGTCCCTCAACGGCGTCCACATCATCCTCAAAATCTTCCTCTTCGTCATCATCATCCACTTCAGGTGATGAATTTGACAAACTGTTTGAATAAAAAAATAAACAAAATCCTATGATTATACAAATTTTTCAAACACAAAAATATAAACTCCGCCGCAAGATGGTGACACCCGGGGAAAAGGGACGTTACATGATTAAAATATAAATCACTGATGTACATGACTTAAAAAAATGCCAACCACCGAAACAATATTGGACCCAAGTATCAAAAAAAGAGCTGTTCTTAGCAGAGTCTGAAGACAGCGTTTACAAACAAATTGAGGAAATAATATTAACCGTTGGGCAAAAGATATCTAGTACGGTAGGAATGGAAGTGGAAACTTTTAAAATAAATAAAAATGATAGATTCAATAACTAACACAACACATGTAATAGTTGTAGATGTTTTATTGTATGATTTTTATTGAATGTATTGGTAAAAACTCCTTTCTTTTTTTTTATTCCAGGGGTAAAGTTAAAAATGAGAAAGATACCAGTCTTATTGCTCCTTATTCTGTACATCAAAGTTTAATAATGGAGGTGGATGTTGTCGAAGAGCCTTTACCCTGATCAACGTGCACGATCAAGATTTTCATTGCAAAGTGGTGATGTGTTTAATGAATTAGTGGAACTTAATAGTGTGTTTCGCGGTGTGCTTAAAACATATTATTTACGAAACAGAGATGAAAACATCAAGGATTTGTGTGTCCTATTAACTTACCACAAACGAAAAATAATAGACTTGACCTCTTAGTCCTCTCTCTTAGTTGGAGTATGGTGCCTTGAAATTTAACATCTTAACTGAGTGTACCTATATTAAACCGCGCACAGATGAAAAACAAATTAGATCATTTAAAACTAGTAACAAATCAGTTACTATACCCCCTTAGAAACTGTGCTCTATGATAACTTTCCAGCCAGCATTCTGCATCCAACTATCGTCCGAAGGACGTGAAGTCAATATGTTTTTCATCATAGTTGTAATTCCAAGATTTTTTACCCTGTCAACTTCTATTCCACACAATTCATATCTAATTTCATCAAACAAAAATGACATGGCGTTGGTAATCAATTCAGTTAAAGTATCATCTTTATTGTCAGTAGCCTTTACAATTTTTCCTTCGATTAGCAGAAAACTCTTACTTGGCAGTGTGTAGACATCTTGTTGATGAACCGGAATTCGTATTTCATCACTGTTCTTTAAAGAATTTGAAGAGTAAGGTGTATGACTGTGATATTCTATATCACACACGGTATCATCATAGTTCACTTGTTCACTAATATCTAGGATTTTATTCATTTTTTCTCATAAAACCCCAGTGATTTTAAGAATAAGTGGTTTTTCAGTGTTAACTGTTTAACCCCTCGATTGGTACTGACGGTATGATCAGGTTTGACTTGCTTATATGATTTTTTCAGGTTTCCAACTTATTTCTGAGTGTTGAAAATTAGTCCCATTATGAACAGTGTAGCTTCTCTCTAATGTGTAGTCGTAGATTGATGTTCTCACCACGAAAATTAACAAGCCGACCTTCTTGATCCCCAAGTTTTATGTTAAACTCTGATAAACTTTTTCTGTTGAAAATGGGTAGGTAAATAATTGATTTAGGTTTTTCAACTATTTTAAAACCAGGCCCAACTATAGGATAAAATTCATGTAACACGTGACCTTCAATGCCGTCTTTATATGATCCTCGTACAATATTACATGCTATTCATATGACATCTACTTTAGTAATGCTGACTTGACTTGGAGACACATGCCATTTATTCGCTTCAAGAACTTTCTTTTCAGTAAATCCTAGTAGTAATCCGATATTAAAGGTTTTGGTGAAATCCAACGTTTCTGAACATTTTATTTCACTTTTTAAAGTGTTATTATTGGCAACTAACTCAAATGTAATGGAAGGGTGCTTTTCTTTAATATGTTTATTAATATATGTGTTGATATCACTGATTTCATAGGATCCTGTTGGTAAGGCTATCTTTATGTCTTTTCCAATATACAACATATTATTAATACCTTCCTCTATGTTCGGTATTGAGTTGTATGTCATCAAATCTAGAAATCCCATCTCCCATTCACTCGCTGATGACAAGTCTATTGGTGGAAAAAGTGTGCAATTCAAATTAGATGAATTCCCAGTGATGCAAATCATCTTCTTTTAGCAAGAAAATCCAAACACAAATTACCACAGTTTACAGAGTTAAATTTTTGTTTTGGAAAATAACTATAATTGACAAATACGGGATGATATCCAGTATTGAAACACTCCTGTAACTCGATGGGTGGTTTTAAGTTGCCAAAACTATCAAAGTATTCGATATGAAATCCTCTCTTATAATAACATACCCAGTGTGTACCATTTCCTTTTATACTATCAAGATTAACAACTGATGATTCATTCTCATCGATTCTTAAAGGAAGATTATCTCTCATAAAAACACCTCTAAAACAGGGTATTTCTAAATCTATAGCATGTTTGATTAAATCAAAACAACTTAGCGGTTTTTCTGGAAGTCGTTCAATTATTTCCGATGAGTACATTTTTTTTACTACTACTACTTCTACTACTACTACTACTACTACTACCAGACCCAGTATATGGTCTCAAGTAAAGCCCTTTTCCATTTTTAGTTTTATTCTTACAGGAGCATTTAGGAGAGATCTTCTTTTTTCTAACTATGTTTTTCTTTTTGAAATGGTTTTTAGTTTTTGGAGATTTTCCCTTACCTCAACCAAATTTTGCTTTAGTTTTCATTATGTTGGTAACGGCCCAGGCGGCAGCTCTCTCACCAACACTTGAGTCCGAAGCTTTAACTCTTTCCCAAGCTTTTTCAGCTAATAATCTATCGGTTGTAGATATAATTTTATTATCCTTAGATCTTGAATATGCAATATCGTGGTTTTTACATGCAGCATCCAATTTATTTATCCCCGGATCTCCTCTTGCAAATCTCTTCTTTAAATAAATTCCAGGTCCACAGTACTGATAACCAGGTATGTGGAGTTCTACAGGTAAAATATCTATTGCACGATTCATAACAGTACTAACAGCTTTGCCTATTGATCCTAACACTCCTCCACCACGAGGAGAACTGACTCTTCGTGAATCCATTGCCTAGTATTTATGACAACGGTTTATCCTCTACTGAGAAGTTCTTCCAATCAGGAGGATGGATCCTGACAACCAAATGTTTCCACTCTTTTTTTGTCTTTTTCCATTTCTTTTTATTTAGATGGCTGTAAATTGCATAGGTTATATCTGATAATGTATCCATAAAGTAAGTGTAGTGAACCGCATCAAACCAGTGTTTTGGCTTTGATAGATTAATGATAATTGCCCCATTAGCATTAAACTCCCCTTTATCATTTTTCAATAATAAGCCTGCTTTTAACTGATCAATAATTTTAATAGCTGTGTTTGTGGATTTTACAGTTTCTTTAATTGATTCACGACAACTATCAATAGAGTTTTGCAATATTTTAGGATCAACACTATTCATTTTTACTGTTCCACAACATCATTTATTGGGCTTAAAATATTGTTAAATGAATTACGACAGATGTCTATAGAGTTTTGTAAAGTCTTTAGATTAACACAATCACTTGAATCTGTAGCGTTTGCAACATTACATAGCTTTTTATTATTGATATTGATATTTCCATAAGCAGTTAGATCAAACCCCTCATCTTTTGGCCCTCTTAAACATTTACTACACTCATAGTAATTTATTTTGTATAATCTAAGTGTGTAGTTTTGTGAACAAGGTTCTCAATTGGACTGAATAAAAAGTGCAAATGTTTTGTTATATAAATGTATTTTTATTATCCATTCAGATTGTCAAGCTGTTTTGAAAGAACTGGTTTTAAGTCATATAGCTCCTCCATTATAGGATTGATCTCTTCTGTGTGCGCAGTGTTTCCTGAGTTTTGAGATGCCAATAGAATCCGTAGTCTGTCCACAATCTCATTAGGGTAATCGAAATAAATATATTTTGGTTTATCATTTGTAAGAGGAATACAACTTCCAGTTGCAGCTTGAGTTAGTATGTCCGGATAAGTAATCATATCTTGCTGTTCTTCAGTGATATTGATAGGCAATTTGGAAATAACTGTTTTATACTTAATTCCTCTATTTGATTTAACCCTTCCATGCCGAGAATAGTTTGTTCTGTGTGCATTTTTTACTGCTAAAATCTAATTAACTATACAGCCCGATGTGTAACTGACTCACTCACGGGGGATACTAATTCTAGACCACTTCTAGATGAGCTAGTCTGGGCGTATACATTCAAATCTTCTTGACTGTAAATGTAATCGTTTGGTATGTTCATGACTATTAACTCATAAAGTCCAGGTGTTCCATGATATCGTACACCATCAATTATGATGTCATCAT